TTTGAGATCATGTCTCCAAACCCAAGGTGGATAGTTCATGAGTAACTAAATCTGAAGCTGCCCTCTGCCTGCATATGCACATATGCATAGACATATATACACAGAAACACAAGCATGTGTGCATGCGTGTGCATGCACGCACACACACACATATATAAACATACAGGAAAACATAAACAATAATGGTAATAAAAGAGTTAAAAAGAGTTAAGGAAGTTTTTTTGTTTTTTTTTTGTTTGTTTTTTTTTTTTTTTTTTTTTGGTTGTTTGTTTGAGAATCCACGGAGATTTCTTTTGAGGACCCACAAGAGAAAAGTCTTTGGCTAGTCATTCTTCTTATGAAAGACTCCAAAGAGGATGATATTATTGTTTGGGTGTTGCATGGTGAGAGGAGGTATAAATGGAGTCCAGAACATGGCTATGGCATCTAAGGTAGAGAGCAGCTGGAGGATGGCTACCTAGATGGGGCTGAGCAGGGCATTGATGGAGCACAGTCAAGTTTTGCCATACCAAAGGATAGAACCCTGCCTGAGAGGAGAAGGCAAGAGAGGAAAAAGCCTGAGGAAGGGATCCTATGTGGTTTCACCCCAAGGAAGCTCTGAAACCATTCCCTTCCACATCCTCACAGAGGCCACACACACCTCGAGAAGGCTAGCTTGGTTCTTATTCCTAAATAATCCATCACTCCAAAGTCACCAAGCAACTTCAAAATTAAACATAAACACCACGTTCAAGAGCAGCAAGCTGCCGTGTTTCACGGGACTAGGACTGGAGCAATGAACTTGACTGTGCAAGTGCAAACCAGGACGCCAATGGATCACTGGAGAGCTAATGAGCATTGTAGGTGCTCCCTGCAGAGTAGACTGCGTTAAACAAAGGTTACTGAGTTATTTACCCCCAAATGTTACATAAAGTCAATTACATATTTGAAAAAGGCATGTTTGGGGGAAACAGAAGGGATAATTAAGCAGAGGGCAGAGGCATCAGAATTTGATGACAACTCAGGGAAGAGGTTGACGGAAGAGGCACAGCAGGAAGCATCTGTGTCTCCTTCATAGACATCCACATTATCTCTTTCCCTCTTCCCATGACACAGGGTTAATATTAATAAGACAATGGTAATGAAGGAAAACTGTAAAACAATATTAAATGTGGGAATCGTGAACTAGGACCAAAGAGCATATATTATCCTGCGTAATAGAACATCGGGCTTACTGCAATAAATTCAACAGAAGAGCAGGAGGGAGGGTTTTGACCACTGATAGTCAAAATAGATGCTTGGTGAGACAGAGACAGTCAGCCTGGTTAGACACTGTACAATACATTCATGTGTTGAAATACCACATGGGGAAAAAAATGCTATCAGGAGTGGTGAGATGTCCCCATGGGTAAAAGCACTTGCTATGTAAGCCTGATGATCTGAGTTGCACCTCAGAACCTATGCAAAAAGATGGAAGGAGGCTATCCAGCACTCAGGAGGCACTGGAGGGAAGATCTCTGTGAGTTCAAGGCCAACCTGGTCTACATAGCAAATTCCAGGCCAGCTCACGTGTTTTTTGTTTGTTTGGTTGGTTGGTTGGGTTTTTTTGTTTGTTTGTTTGTTTGTTTTGTTTTGTTTTTGTTTTTTTGTATGGAAGCCAGTGGTACACACTGGGTGTCTTACTTAGTCACCCTCCACCTTATTTTTTGAGTCACAGTCTCTCTTGGAACCTGGAGCTTGTCAATTCAGCTACACTGGCTGGTCACCTAGCCTTAGAGATGTTTGGGTGTCCACCTCTATAGTCCTGGGACTACAGGCATGCATAGATACAACCAGCCTTTTATGTGGTTTTTGGAGATCAAACTTGGTTCCACGTGTTTATGTGGCAAGCACTTTACCAAATGATCCATCTCCCCAGACCTATGAAAGGCTTTTAATAAGCAACTTCTCTTAACAAAACAGGAAGTGTATTAAATGCATGTCCATGTGATTAGCATGAAGCTTCTGCAACGATGACCAAAGACCTATCTTGTTCCTTTAAGATAAAAAGACTGTGTAGAGACGTTGGCAGTGTACAGACTGAACCCTGTTGTTATTCCAGATGGGAAGCTGGCCATGTGTTAACTCAGAACTGAGACAGAACTGCCTGCTACCTTTAAAGAGACAAACAGAGGGCTGTAATGTGTGTTAAGAGTACTTGGTTCAAGCCTTCTGAATGTGGGCATCAGTTAGGAGGCAATCTACGGGGCCTCTGACAGTGGAACCAATATTTATCCCTAGTGCACAAATGGACTATGGAAGCACATTCCCAATGGAGGAATACTCTCTCAGCCTAGATACATGGGGGTGAGGGCATGCCCTTCCCCACATGATATGACAGACTTTGATAATCCCCCATGGGAGGCCTCACTCTCCCTGGGGAGTGGATGGAGGATGGGATGGGGGGGTCAGTGGAGAGCATGGGAGGATGAGAGGAAGAGGAAACTGGGATTGATATGTAAAATAAGATTGTTTCTAAATTTTAAAATAAAGTACTTGGTTCAGCAGTTAAGAGTACTTGCCACTTTTCTAGAGGACCCAGGACACAAGTCAGATGTCTCACAACCACCTGTAACTCTGGCTCCAGGGGATCTGAAGCCCTCTGCTGACCACTTTGGGTACCAGCACACATGAGGCACACATACACAGACCCAGGTACACATATGCATAAACTTTTTTAAAAAGGCATTCTTTTAAAAAGAATATTTCTAATGAGACCAATAGTAGAAAAGTGTTCTATCTGTTGACCAGGCCCAAGTAAAACACTGATAAGGTTAAAAGATATAAGGCCCCATATGTCCAAAGGGACAAAATGGTGTATGGAAATAATGTTACTCAAAATTACAATCTCTTCATGAGAACCTAAAGCAGGGGTTCTCAACCTGTAGGTCATGACCCCTTTTGGAGTCACATATCAAGTATCCTGCATATCGTATATTTATATGACTCATAACATTAGCAAAATTACAGTTATGAAGTAGCAATGAAATAATTTTATGATTGGGGTCACCACAACATTAAGGAACTGTATCAAAGGGTCAAAGCATTAGGAAGGTTGAGTACTGATGACCTAAGTATAATCTGAAGGGAATGGGTCCCTTAGTTATTAACATGTGGAGTTAATTTTTGCATTTGAATGAGAAATGTTTTCTATGAATTTTTCATTGGCATCATGAGCTCAATTTGTACATGACTTCATAAGAATCTCTCCCATCTCCAAAGAATAAGTCCACAGTAACACTAGTGAGTCCCTCTGTACTAACCCACACTTCCACCTGTAGTAACACAAAAAGTGACAAGAAATGTCAGCTAATATTTCAAACACATATCGTCTCATAACATCAATGACATTTTAAAGTGTGGTGATGCTTCACGTGCTTTCTTGAAGTGCTACATAGTTCTGAAGTGCTACATAGTTCTCTGTCACTGAGGAGCAATCAATCCACTACAGGGGAAAACTTAAGATCGCAGTGAAAAAGAAAGAGCTTTGGGGTCCATGAGATGGCTCAGTGGGAAAAGTCACTTGGCTGCAGAGTCTTGTAAACCTGATTTGATCCTGGGACCCACAGAGTGGAAAGAGAGAATCTGCTTCCCCAGGCTCTCCTCCAACCTTTGCGTGTGTCATGCTTACACCCACACAAGCACACACATAAATAAATATTAGAAATACAAAATTATTTATCACAATACACCCACTACTCCCTTTTTAGACAAATTGTTACAACAGAGTCAGAATTAACTAACAGTTCCCTGGAGTTTGCTGGGGAATAAAATTCCGATTTGCATCTTGACAAGTACTTCAGCACCCACGTTCTGTTTATCTAGAACACTTCTTGATAGTCAAACCTTTATCTGAAATCCAATGCCTCTCCTCTTTCTCTAGCCATTTCCATTCCTCAAAGTGTCTCTGGACCTTGTCTCCATCCAGTGAAAGCCCTGCTCCTCATCTCTGGATTGCCAAAGCTTGAAAAGGGATGTTCCCATGAGACGAAGGTGACTCAAAAGTGAACTGCACTGCACACTACTAAATAAAGCTGCACATTTCCCTCTAAGCCTTTATCTCTGCTATAATACTTGCTTCAAGCTCACGGCTTGGAGAATAAACTTCAACACATACTTTATACTCCTTTTGTAAAATAGTGTTTCTCAGAAAAAATAAAGGATCATCCAGAAATAATCCCCAACATTTGTAACGATGCAATTTCATATACTTTATATCATGTAACCTTTCCAACTCCCCCTGAGACAACTGTAGCCTGATCCCATCTTCCAGAGAAGGTTTATTGGACTTGAGAAGGTACTAACAGCAGGAGCAAGAGGCTTGGCTGCACTGGACTCTGATGAGTGAGTTCTGAACTTGAAATTGTGTCTCCAAACTAAAACTGTAAAATGGAAAAAGTTGTTAAGAAGTCCTCAGTGCCTTCAGTCAATGACATTAACAGGCATGAGTCCCATATTCCAATTCCAGAGATAGTATGCTCTGAGTGACAGATGGAGCCAACTTGCAGTATATGGTCAGATCAGTGACCCAGGGGAAAAGCTGTCCTTGGGAGGAGTAGAAAGTGACTGGGAAAGGCTGGGGGAAGACAGATCATTTGGTCTGTAGGGCCAAGAAGTTTGAGAACAACTTACTGGAAATATGGTAGTTTGGAGATGGTAAAAACTGCAGAGATAGATAGGTTCAACAGATTAGCAGTGATGCATGGGAGAGCAGACATACACACACTGTTACTTCAGTACTCAGAGTACAGTTCCTGAATTCCAGCAGCACCCATGTTCTTCCCACATAAAGTCACGCCACAGATGCTGTGTTAGAAGGATGTTCTGACTATAACCAAACCATTCTTGAAATGGAGGACATACAGTAGTGGTCCAGAATTTACACTATCTCCTCGAGGCAGAATTCCTACAGACCATGGCTAAACACCAAACTAAGGTTGGGCTGAGTCACACTTGGGGCGGACAAGGTTTCTGTAACTCACCAATGAAGTGATTTGGTCCCAAGGCCAGCATCTCCTCTAGCAGGACAAGGCCCCCTGGAGCCTGGAGGGGTGTCACGCTTCGTCCATCTATGAGGGAGCACTGTTGAAAGCCTGTGGCTGTGACCTTCCACAGCAAGATCAGTGAAGCGGTGGGGTCCTGCCGAATTCTGAAAACGAGAATCAGATCAATGCAAAGTCGATCATGCTAAAACACATCTCACAACCGATTCAGCAATCTGAGATGGAAATACAGATAGCCTGTGCATCCACACAAAGCGTCAGGAAAACAAAGGAGTGGTTGTACAAGCAGGTACCCACCTTGTGCACACTAAGGTAACCACACTTACTGAAAACATCCACCCCGCCCCCACTTGTTCAAAGTCTACCACCAAGTGACTAGTCAGTACTCCATCATTTGCTAATGATGACAAATAATAAAAGCAAGTTGGATTCTTTCACAGATAAATGTAAAATAAGATAAATCCTGCTTAAAGTTATCGTAGATGCATACTGCAATACAGCCCATCCTTCCGAGCCAAGCTATCATAGTAAGCAGTGTGTCAAGCCTTTCTGTCTTCCTAAGGCTTGCAGGATAAGTTCCAGAAAATAGTAAGTCATCTAAACCCAGTGCACTCCTGCCATCTCCCCCTCAGCTCCAGTCCCAGCATCTGCATCCCTGCTACCCAGTACTCCAGCACCAACAAGCTACCGACATCTCTTCCCAGGTTTTTGCCTGGCCACCAAGCTTCATGTGCTCCTTCTCCCCATGGAAATTATGGCTCTAGCCTATGCATCACCTCTGCTAGGGGACTCCAGGCCCTTTCCTACGATGCCAGCAGCTGCTTGTTCTCCTTGTCCTTTAGAGGACCCAGGTCAGCAGTCCCCACATAGCTCCTCCCCCAGCACCAGCTCCCCGGTTGTGGCACAGAGCTCAATAACATCTTGGCAAGTGGCTGCATCCATGAATAAGTAACAGTACCCTATCAGGGGCTAGTAACACCCATACATGAATGTGGGGTGCCCACAGATCATGTGACAGTCCCCTCTTGCTCAGCCTGGGTCATGCTGTGGTTTCTGCCCACCCAAGAAAGGCCCAGGGAGCATCAGATTACTTGAGAAAGAAGAAAAGGAAAGCACTGAATGGGTGGGCAAGTAGGACTCCTGAGAAAGATTATGATGGGGATATGACAAGACCAACTCAAGAAAGAGCTTGAAGAAGATGCCACTGCAAGAGCAGACACGTGAGCTACTTAGTAAAATAGTGAACTCACTTATGTGTTTCCCACAAGCCAGCTCCCAATCTCCAGACTTGCAGCTATGGAAGGTATTTTGAAACCCTTAACATGGGGTTCCCCCTACTGGTAGAGCTGGGAGCAACCTCGTACTCCATCTCTGCCTATGGGGACATTCCTCTGAGACCTTCAGGGCCTCTCTAGGCTTTCCTCTGTCAGGATGACCACATTGCTTGGGTTGGTGGGGGAGGTGTGGAGGTGCAGGGTCAGTTTAATGAGGGCCCTCTGGTAGACCTCGTCTGTGAGCTCACTCTTCATAACACCAGGCAAGCAAAGTTGGTCAGTTTCCACAGGCATACAACGGAGATAGCCACTGCACAGAACTAGCTGGTCAAAGCTACATGTCTCTTGCCTCCTAAAATTCCCCGGGGAACTGAGGGCGGGGACTAGAGTAGGAAGGGTGAGAGTTAATGGTAGCAAAAAAGGGCAGACTCTTTCTTCAGTGTGTCTGGCACAATCTGGGGCTGGCTCCTTCCGACTTTCAGCTCTGTGCCCCTGGGCAGATGCCAGCCTCCCGGTGCCTATGCAAATCACCCATACACATCAGATGGCTGTGCAGACACAGTTGCTTTCCTTTGTCTCCCTTCCATCTCCCAGGAGGCAACGGGCAGTCTGTCACTCCACAGCTTAAGTTTAGGACCAAAAGCTTTCCCTACACTGCTTGCTTTGAAAGAGAAACTTGAAGTTTTTTTTTTTAAATTTGTAGTAAATTACACAATTGAATTTAATGGTCCATTAAAATTTTTAGAGCAAAAGTCATCTGGGAGATGAGGTGACTGCTCAAAATCTTTCCTAAGACTTCTGGGTTTCTTCTGTCAGGTCCAACTTCCCGGATCCCATGTCCTACTGCACCTGCACAGCTGACCACTAACCCTCCAAGCCTGATCCTCCTTACTCTTGTTAACTGAGTGCCATAGGTTCCTATATGGGGTTCATTCAAGATTCCCACTGGATTGGCCATCAACATACCAGATGCATGGTAGACACCCCGCCCCAGCACACATTGATCTTAACAGGTGTGATCTAAGACTATTCTTACTTTACAGAGGTGTTCTGTGGCACTTCAAAGGACACAAGGCGGCCACCTGCAGAATTATTGGAACTGGCATTCCCACAGGCAACATCAGGGACCACCTGGAAGAAAGAAGACCCATTACCCAGGGGCAAATATAAGGTAGAATCCACAGCTGTGTCCCTGCTGCTCAGCTCAGTGATGACATTGTCACCCGACCTTGAAGGGGACACCTAGAACCTTGGAGATTCACAAGGAAAGCACTGCCATTTTGTTTTAAGGCATGCAGCTTTGCACACAGAGGTCTGCAGCTGGGCAGGATTGATAACTGATAACGGATGCTTCAGTGAAAACAGCAGGGTATCACTGCAGCCTCTTCCACTGACAGTTAGCCACTGTTCCTGCTCTGTGCTGATCCTAAAGGCACTAAATGATAGAAGGACAGAGGCGCCAGGACTAGCTAATGGACTAGCTAAGGGCTGGCTAACCAGGACTAGCTAATGGACTAGCAAAAGCCTTATGCCTAGAAGAAGCAGCCTCCACACCTGCAAAGACACAGGGCCTGGGAACAGGGCTCTGTACTGAGGTACCCACAGTGGGCTATAGACGGGGAAGGAGCCCCTGTCTTTCCCTACACTCTTCCAGTGCTGGGAACTGACTCCAGGGTGGTACATAGGTAAGTGCTCTACCACCGAGCTATATTCCCCAACTAGAATTTTGGGTTTTGGTGGGGTTTTGTTTTGTTTTGGTTAGTTTTGCTTTAGTTTTTTTTTTTTTTTAAGGGTCTCACTACATAGCCCAGGCTGGTCACAAACTATGATCTTCCAGCCTCAACCTCCTAAGTGCAGGGATTACAAATGTATACTGCCACATCCAGCCTATGTCTATACTGTTATAAAGACGTTATTTTTTAAAGACTTATTTATTCTGGTATTTTATGTAGATGAACACACTATCTTCATGCTAACCAGAAGTAGGACTATGATCCAGCCTATGTCTATACTGTTATAAAGACGTTATTTTTTAAAGACTTATTTATTCTGGTATTTTATGTAGATGAACACATTATCTTCATGCTAACCAGAAGTAGGACTATGATCCCATTACAGATGGTTATGAGCCACTATGTGGTTGCTGGGAACTGAACTCAGGACCTCTGGAAGAGCAGCAAGTGCTCTTAACTGCTGAGCCATCTCTCCAGCCAGACTCTGTGTGTGTGTGTGTGTGTGTGTGTGTGTGTGTGTTTAAGTACAGTGCCTGAAGAGACCAGGGCTCCTGGAGCTGAAGTAACAGGCAGTTGTTAGCCTTCTGATTGGGGTGCCAGGAACTGAACTCAGGTCCTCTGGAAGAGTAGCAAGCTCTTAACTGCTGAGCCACCTTTCCAGCCCCCATACCTACATTTTTAAATTATACTGTTGTGTATTACCAGTTCGCACAAACAATCAGAAGTAACTGCAGAAACTCCGAATGGATCAGTGTGCGGAGAATAAGTACTGTTGGATGCTGGACCAAATATAAAGCATCCATTTCACCCCCCCCCACACACACACACACAAGGCCCAGGAACACTGAAGTAAAAGGGGTAGAAAGAATGTAAGGGCCAAAGGATGGGTGAAGGGAATGCTGACCTTCAGGTACAACATGGATGCTGCACACTTGAACTCATAGTGGCTGTGGTTACACATACAAGGTCTGACCAGGATCAGGCCATCAGTATCCTATCATGGGCTGGGGAAAGGGTTCATGGTGTCCCATCCACCTGATGATTTACACACAATTAATAACAGACGTGCTGGTACAGCACCCATGGTTCTATGAACAAACTCTCATCCATCCCCTTCTAGGCAACTATGATGAAACTGACTGGGTCGATCACAAGAAAGATGTGAAAGTAAATGGGGGGGGTAGTTGGGATGATGAGGGGATTACAGAAGGGGTCAAGAGAGAATAAGGAGGGTGAATATGAGCAAAATAATATATATATATATATGAAAAAGCCATAATAAACTCATTACCATATATGAAAATGCCATATCATTATTCTCTGCAATTAGTACACACGAATAAAAAATATTTTTAAATTAATTGCAGGATGTGATGGTCCCAGCACTTGGGAGGCTGACCAGACAAGTCAAGGCTTGTCTAGGCCCTATAGTGAGTTCCAGGTTAAGACCTCTTCAGAAGAGGGGGCAAAAAGATGGTAAGAGCCAGTGACTGGGGAGGACCAGAGTGAAATAATGTCTTCTGAGATACGACAGGACCACAACACTCATGAATTCCTGGCAATTGGGTCAACAGCATGTGGTCCTATGATATGGCAAACTTGTGTGAACCCCCCCACACACACACAAACACATTGAACTAGCTCCCCAATTCCAAAATTAATGCACAGAAATGCATATAGAGATCATTCCAGGAAATAATTCAATACATTTTAATTTTTGTTTTAATCCTTCTTTACTCACAAAATAATCATATAATCTGGACTTGGGGGCCACATGCCCACCTGGGCAGCATAACAAGTTAGAAGTCAGCCTGAGTAGTCTAGACCTTGTCTAAAATAAGGGAGGGCAGCAGGCATAAATTAGTGCTAGAGTACTTGCCTGGCATCTGTGAAGTTCTGAGTTCAATCCCCAGTGCTGAAAAAGTCATGTATACAAGTAAAGATGGATGTAAGGCTGCACACATGGTTTATTCAGTGACTAACCTGAAGACCTTCTATTTTTGTCGCTTATATTAAAACCACTGGAATTGTTTTGACATTTCTGGTTTCTTCTGTGAAAAATACATGACATAGAATATTCTTACCTCTACTTGATCCCATTTCATTTCTACAACTTTCTGCCCTGTTTTTGGCTGCCAGGTTGGCAGTGTCACGGTTGCCTGAGAGCGGGGCAGGATTATGTCAGGCTCCTGGGTGGCGGGGACAGGCTGAAGCTGTCTGGGTGCCATGGACTCTGTCCAGCCAGAGGCTGGAACACTGGGAAGTGGCTGTTCACAGTTAAGACCTTCATAGCCATCATTGCAAATGCAGAGGTAGCTGTTGTTGTTGCTGCTGCTGCTGCTGCTGCTGCTGCTGCTGCTGCTGCTGCTGCTGCTGCAGTTACCATGGTGACAAGGGTTGCTGGCACAAGGGTCTGTAACAAACTGAAAAGAGACCATAAATGGGTCAATTATTCCCTCACAAGGAATGTGGTGTTGCTGACGGGAAATTAGCTCCCTGGCTTACTGCTCTAGCTCTTAACACCATTGCTTGTGAGCCTACAATCCTTTGCTTCCCCGGATCATCCCACCAGGACACTGATCACAGATAACAGAAGCTCAGCAAGAGAAATATAATAAGGAACAGCCTACCTCAGCCCTAAACCAAATGGATTTCAGAAACACATCACTGAGCAGAATTTTTTTTTTTTTAGACAAAATGTTTAAAATAAGACCCCTTATAAAGGAGTTGCCATCAACTGTCAGTCGTGACAAACGTCTTCGTGGATCTAAATTGGAATCTTTTTCATATCCTAAACCTTTGTAAGATTTCTGAATGAGAAATGGTTGTCCAATTTCTGGCTTGCCTGTATCTCACTACTTCATCTTTAGAGCAGATCTTTAAGACATTGTTAGTCAATTAATGGTTTCCTGGGCTGTCTATTGCTACGATAGACTTTGGCTGGAACGTCAGCTGCGGTCTGTGAAATTTTTGGTCACATCACTCTGAAGAGTCATCACAGAGTAACTAGGTCTCAGTAGACGGGAAGAATAAAGAAACAGTCCTATGTCTCTTCCTTGTGTTCATGTTGATCTCTGAGTACCTCACTGCCGACATCTGAAGAGTCATTTGTTGGTACTTGGGAACGCACTACAGAACAGTAGTAGCACAAGGACCACCTACTCCTCTGGAGTTGGCACCAGTGTTGAGGCTCATGCTCTGTGCTATTCGGTTACAGTTTGTTTCCATGGTAAAGGAAAATTCAATCACAATTGCTACACCCAGCCTCTGGGAGCTGATTGCAGGATAGAGTTCACTACTGAACCAATGGCATAGAAAGGCAACTCTGGGTTCTCTTGTTCACATGTGTTCACACAATAAGCATGTGTGGCCAGAATTCTACGAGGTAAAAATGGCCCTCCTTATGCAAATTATGCTCATCAAACAATTTCCAGCAGACCCCTTCAGGGATGGAAGAGAATTAGGGACTGGATCAAATGAAGCTCCAAAAATACCACATTAGTTCTGCAATATCACTCAGGATTCCTGCTCAGAGTCCCTAAGAGTCAATGGATTTGCCTCTGAAGAGAACATCGAAACAGTCAATAATTTTAAATATTTACTTTATAGGCACAAAGTAAAACCCACGCACCATTCCAAGAAGATGCAGCCCTCCCTGATCAGATCCCTTCCTATCCTTGGAGTTTGCCCCCTCCCACACTTCCTTGTACCTTCTTTGTGGTCTACAGGTCTCTGGGTTATACAAAGCCTCCCCCACCATGGGGCCATGGCACACTGGGGTCTCTTCCCAAGACTCTGTGCTGGCTCCCTACTCCACACATTCAGTACCCTCCCTAGGGGAAGACTCCCCTCACTATGAAATCCAAGAGAATGCCTTTCCCTGTGTCCCACAAAAGAAAAAAAAAACGCTCCATGAACGAGACACTTTCAAGTGCTCTACTTACCGCTCTATTTCTAGCACATCGAGAGAGATGGCAAGGCTTTTTAAAAACGTTGAAGGAAATAAATGTGGATGGATTGATTGATATTTGGATGGCATATGACGGGGGTGGGGGGTGCTTCATGTTTAGTCACAATGTTGGCTCCTTTCTAGTTTATTTTTAGGATGGCCCAGTGGAATTAGTGTCACCTCAAGAATTAGTTGACAGGAGGAAGAATTTAATTAGCTAGAACAAAGGGGACAATTACTACCAAGTTTCTGAAATCAGCTTTTAAATCATCCAAGGGTGACCTCGTCTCAAAGAAGAAAATTGGATACATGCACCAAAAAAAGGCGGGGGCAGAACTACATTTAAATCAGAAGGGATCGATACAGAAATGAATTCCAGAAGCTGGAGCTGCCATCAAGCAGCTGAGAGAATTGGTGTCATGGAGATGGGGGCTGCCTTTCTGGGGACAGGGACTCTGGACCCTCTGCTCCATCATCACAGCCAACTGCTGAGACAGCTCACTCTCAGAGGAGCCCGGGCTCCTCACAGAGACACCAGGCACTGCTCAGTCAACAGCCTCCAGAGAGCCTTAAGGAGAATGTACCCAGCCTTCCTATGGCACGAGGCCACTGGGTGTGATGCCCACCACACCCCTCACATGACCACACAGAGAAGAACACTGACCATGTAGCATCTCATCCTTACAACCTACAACCCTGAATTTGTCTCACTGCTGGGTGTGAAATGGTTGAGAGGAGCAAGAGCCACCAAGCACGAGCACAAATGTCATGCCTGCTGCCCAGCCAAGAATGATTCCTGTAATTCATTTCCACAGGTGGGACATCAAATCATCATGCCCCAAAGTCCCTTTGGATCAAGGGAAGGGTAAGTGTTCAATTTCTTCTCAGACAGAAAAAACATTCATAGGAATTAAACTCAGATCATGAATACCACCCCAAATGCGTTGTTTCTGTGTATCTGTGTCTGTTCATGTGTGTGGTATGTTTGTACACGTTCATGTGCATGCATATGTGTATGAACATGTATGTAGAGGCCAGAGGTAAACGTTAGGTATCCTCCTTCATTACTCTTCATTTTCTGCTTTGAGACAAGCTCTTCCACTAATCCCATGAGCTCAACTAGCTGGCCAGAAATCTCCAGAGATCCATCCATCCCTGGCCTCACAGTGCTGGGGTCACAGGCACAAGCCACCTAGTATAGCCTAAAGGGTTGGGCTCTATAGTAAAGCTTAAAGTCAGGGATGTACCTTTATTGTACATCAATATTTTAGCTGTCCTTGATTTTTTGTTTTTCCATATGAAGTGTAATACTTTCCTTTCAAGGTCTGTGAGGAGCTAAGTCAAAGAGAGGGAAGAGGGTTTATATGAGCAAGAGGGGTCAAGATCATGACAGAAAACCCACAGAGACAGTTGACCTGAATTTGTGGGAGCTCACCTACTCCAAACCAACAGCTGGGGTGTCTGCATGGAACTGAACCAGGCCCTCTGCATGTGGGTGACAGTTTTTATAGCCTGGTCTGTTTGTGGGACCAGAATCTATCCCTAGTGTATGAGCTGGTGTTTTGAAGCCCATTCCATAAGGTGGGCTGCCTTGCTCTACCTTGGGGAGGGGGAGCCTCAGTCCTGCCTCAACTCAATGTGCCAGGCATTGTTGATTCCCCCGTGAGAGGCCTTACCTTTTCTGAGGAGCGAATGGGGGTGGTTTGGGGGAAGTTGGGGAGGAGGGAAGGGAGGGGGAACTGTGCTTGGTATATAAAATGAATTTTAAAAATAAAATATTAAAAAAAAAGGTAAGTGTCAGAGAAAGCTTGGATTCTACTCTCGTGTGTGGTAACCTTGGACAAGGAAAGGGAAGTACCCTCAAGCTCAGCATCCTCAGAAGGACAGGAAGAGGGAGAGCTTGCCCTTTTACTTCCTGGGGCATGTCTGGCTGCCCATTGCAATGGCTTTGAATGTAGCTGTCATCCCATGCTCAGAGGCAACTGAATAGGCCAGAGTTCAACTGTCACAGCAAATTTGTATTGAAAGGGAATTCTTTCTTCTTCCTTCAGTAAAGGTCTCAACTATACTCTAACACCAAGTCCCCAAGTGCTTCCCACTAGAAGTACCGGGGAACAACTTTGGTACCAGGCACATTCAGCCAATCACTTGCTGAACCAAGAAATACACATCTTGCTAAGAAACACATCCCTGTGCCTTGGCATTTCTTTATTTCTGTATTAGAAACTCTCAATCCACTCAGAAGTAATTCCATATCAACCTGGGCAGTTGGCATCTCCCCTCAATTCTTCATTGGCTTCATGATTCTTGCTTGTGAAGTGAACCACATTTATAAGTAGGCTAAAGGAACACTTAAAGTAGAATTTAAACATGTGACCATGACAGCAAGCCATTAAAAATGAGCCCTGATTAGGAGTCAAGGACATCATAGGAAGGATCACACAATCAACTAACCTTGGCTTATAGGAGCTCGAAGAGACTAAACCCACAACCAGGGAGCCTGCAGGGACTGACCTAGATACTCTGCATATATGGAACAGTTGTGTAGCTGAGTCCTCTTATGTACTCCTAACAGCAGAAACAAGGGCTGTCTCCAACTCTTTTACTAGCTTTTGGGACCCTACTTCTCATACTGGATTGCCTTATCCAGCCTTCATACATGGAAAGGTGCTTAGTCTTACTGCAACTTGACATGCCATATTTTATTGATACCCATAGGAGACCTGCCCTTTCCTAGATGGAGACAGAAGAGAAAGGGGCTGGGCGTGTGGGGGGGGGACTGTGAGGGGAGGATGCTATACCCAGCTCAAAATGCCCATCTTGCTCAGAGAGCTCTTCCCTGATCAAAGCAGTTTGAGATGTGGCCACATCATAACACTAAACAAACCTCTATTTGAAGAAAGAACAATCTAAAGCCTCATAGCAGAATTCTATGGTTAACATACAAAGTCGAGATTCTCTCTGGGTTGGGCACTGGTTTGGAGGGTGGAAAAAATAGCATTTCTGAGTCAATAAAAGGAGTGAGGAACAGAGAATTAGGGATAGGTGCTTGCCTTTAACTGCCCATAGGACAAAATAAGCTAACATTGTATTACATTAGCCATAAAAGCTGGAAACATTTTTATATTCACTTATTGGGGAGGTACATCCATGCTTATGGAACATGAGTGGAAGTCAGAGGATAATCTGCAGAAGTTGGTTCTCTCCTTATACCATGTGGGACCCAGGGATCAAACTCAGGTCATCAGGTTTGGTAACAAGTATTTTTATTCTCCAAGCCATCTCACTGGCTCCTATGTTATTTTAAGTTGCAGTGTATAATACATAAATAGATAAGTGCCCCAAACAAATGTGCACAGTTCAGTGTGTGTTGTCAAACAGGTGTCTGTGTAACCACTGCCAAAGCCAAAAGCAAGAATAATTTCCTCAAGTCCCTTCCTGATCCCCACTCTTCCCTATTCTTCTAAGGTAACC